TGGGGGATTTTTCCAGAGCTGGTACCAGATCCCTAAGACCCTTTCCTCCCAGTCAATGAGCCATGAACAGAAGCCCCTGCGTCACGAGGTCTCCTCCCTCCCGGCCGAGGTGATGCCAGGGGACACAGAAAGGCCTACTGTGGGAGAGGGGTAGTCGCCATTGTGTGGCGCATATGGCAGCCTCTGAGAGGAAACCTGTGTGCAAAGATGCATGCACTTCGCCCAGGGACGGGGGCACGCTGAGAGAGCCGCAGAGAGGGCTCTGCTGGCGCGCCAGGGCAGGGAGCTGGGGGCCAGTTGCTAGGCTTCTCTGTGCGAGAGGGGAAGGCATGTTTTTCAGGTCCCGGCCCACCTGACGAGTCCCCTGATTTATAAGGGCATCAGCGTCAGCGCTGGCGTTCGGGGGAAGCCCAGCCCTCTGAACAGCCGGCTCGCTCTGGCCCACTGGGAAGATTAGAAACTCTGGAGTTCAGGACCACCGTGGCTCAGGCTGTAGCGTCCCCTCTGGAGGGCCGTCAGCTTGTCCTGTGTGTGTGTGCTGTGAGTTGGGCCTTCAGCACTTCATCGATCTGCTTCCTTTCAATCCCTGAAGGGGCTTTGGGCATGTATTCCCTATGCTCCCTAAATCTCTTAATTGCCCTAATTATTTGTTTAATGAGGCCCTTTAGGATCCTTTGAGGACGTAATCAGACACTAATTCAAAGGCAGAGAGCACAGTGAACCAACTGAATCATGGGCAAGCAGGCTGTTTCCTGACATGCCGAGGATTACAGTGCACAGCGTTCACATCAGGAACTCCAGGGAATGGGGTTACTGAAGCAACCCTCTGGGGTGAGGAACTGGACCACATCTCCTCAGCTCAGAAATGAATACGGAGCTCTGTTGTATTAAACAATCCCACCTTCCAACATCTAGGAATTGTTAGACCAAACACGTCTGCACCCTGTGGTTGTACTATCATATACTATAGACTCTACACAGCCCACAGGCCCAGAGTACAGCTATGAGTGTGTCCCTCCACATGAGCATCAGTCTATATCAGACTCCACACAGCCCACAGGCCCAGAGTA